GGAGATGATTTCATACCTCTCTTGTCGTGCACTTTGATGGTATCTTTCCATCAAGTCTTGGTGGCATTTCAAAAGGGTAGAAGTCCTCTAGGACTTTTGGAGTTCTGTTGTCATGGTGGCCATCATGATGCATGCCACTTTGGTGGCATCCCTTTCATGTGCCCGGAAGTCAGCGATCTCCTGGGGAGTTGCAGTGGTCTCATCAATCTCTTTAAGCTCCTTATCGAGGACATATTTCCTTGTCCTCGTAGCGGGTAATCATCCTGATTTTTCTGATCCATTCATTAAAGTTGGATCCATCAAAGTGACTTTCCCACACAAGTTCATAAGGGTAAAGGAGTCATTAGGATTAGAGCCAGCAAGCAGCATTGTTTTGAAGACATCTGAGCAAGAAGGAAAACAAGATTAGTTTAGATATAAATATAGTCCTAAAAAAAAACACCCAAATGTGATATTAAGGCTAGGACCCAATCAATATATTATACTTAGAAGAGGTATGCCGTAATCTAAGTAAACATATTTGAAAGGTAGGTGATGACGATTCACCAATTTCCACCAAAACGAAATATTAATATATAAGTTTTTAATTTGGTTCTTAGAAATTCCTAGATTCTTTGAGATTCATGAACTTTTCAAAGGCATGTTTCAATCTCGAGTGTGCCCTCCAAGTTTTGTGACTGGGATACCGAGGATCACAAAACGAGGTGTGAAGTAACCATGCAAATCACTTGGTACCCTCAATGTTTATTACGCAATCGATGTGCCGGTTAACCACACGCGCTCCACCGACCTATAATAAACTTTAAGTCACCCTTTACCTACCTTGTTAAGTCCAAGTTAGTGTGCCGGTTAACCACACACGCTCCACTAACGACTTAAACAAAGTGTAAAGTGTAATTTCATGGATTAGCACCTTATTCACATTTTCCTAAAGTAACTAAGATTGGGAATTTAATAAAACATTTAGTTACTTTATAATATTCATTATACTTTTAATGAGAATTTATAAGTCCTTGTCCTACCCGTTCGGCTAACGACCCTCCACCGATCAAGGAAGCGGTGGGTGAGAGTGGACACCCATTAAGTTGCCATTTTATAGGCAACAACCTTATACCCCCCTTATAGACCGACTTCGTGAATGAGGCGTACTAGTGGTAAGACGACTTGATCTTATACATATATATTATTAACTTATAATATTATAAAGTATAAGGGTTGAATTTTAACTTTTAAAATTCTATGGGTTGGAACTAAAGTTTTAATCATGACTTTACTTGTTCTAAAACTTGAGGGCAAGTTTTGTAAACTTTCAAAACTTTTCATTTCTTATAACTTATGAATTAATTGAGTATTAAAAATGAAGACTCTTTCATTTTTATAACCCTTGTGTTCTTTTAATGGCTTTTATTAAAGTGTGACCTTTGGTTTTTCCATAACTTGAGGACCAAGTTATGGACTCCATTAAAACACATAATGATCATGAATTAAACTACCAAGTAGGTTACAAACAATTCCTATGATCATCTAATCTTCATAAGTTCAAGAACATGAATATGAACATTTCAAGAGTCATAAATTATTCTTAAAACTTGTAATTTTTGATAATTGCCATTGTAAATGGATTAGCATAAACTCTACACCATCTAAAACAAGTTTTAAAGCACCAAAACAGTTTAGGGTAATGTTTCTAGTCCATTTCCAACAACAAAAATCGAAAATCTGCTGTCAGGGCCTCCTACTCGTCGAGTGCATGAACCTACTCGGCGAGTAGGATGAATTTGCACTTGGACTCGTCGAGTCCCCCCATGGACTCGGCGAGTCCAGTCGTAAGACAGCAAGCAATTTCGATTTTTTAACACATTTTTGCACAAATAACAAACAAACAAGCCTAGGCTATGATACCACTGAAGGGTTTTGAGCATTCTAACACTTCCTAAGTGTACATGCAACCCTAATAAACCTTGGATCTATGTTTGTCTAAAATTCATGCAAGATGATTTCCAAGGTTCATGATCCTATCTAGCATACATGGGGAACATTTAACTTAAATGTAAGATAGAATAACATACCTTGTTGTTGATTTTGATTCCTTGAAACCTTGTGAGCCTAGCACCCCAAGTGTGATGCCTCAAATGCTTCACACAACACCAAATGCTATGGAGTAAACTTGGAGAGAATGTATAACACTCTAAAATCGGCTCTAGCCCTCTTGTTTTTCTTAGTGTAGCCGATTTTGGGAGATGTCACATGGTTTATATAGTGTGTTGCATTAGGTAAACCCTAATGTAACATGACTCTTCATTTCCATGATCCATGGATTAACTCCATGGAGCATCCATGGAGCATCCTATGGGTGGAACTCAACTTGATAATCCATGGAGCCTCTTAGCCCACTATATAAGTTTTGGATGATTTACATAATCAACCCATATATTTAATTAGTTATCTTTTGATCACTTAATTAATTCTAAATTAATTCTTGATCAAACTAATTAAATAATACTATTAATATATTATAACTTATAATATATTAATAAACCATAAGTGTTATTTCTCTCATTTAGTTTATCCAACGCATGGTGCCATGCAACCCAAATGGACCATGCCGGGTCGGGTCAAGTACATACCAGAAATAGTTATGGACTTAGACACCTTATCCAACAACAATAATAATAATATTACAAATCAGACAATTATCTAGTTTCCTAATTATCATTTGGAGGCTTCTAGAAACCCTAAGAGGGTCCTCAAAACCATCCAAATGATAGATGTTTCTAGATCCTCTCATTTGTTCAACTATTGAAAAATTACAGCTCGGATGCACCTTTAATTAATTCCAATCAATTCTGAATTAATTCCAGATGATATAAAACAAAAAAAAAACCCTTACTCTGCTTTTTTCTCTTACATATGCACCTTTTATGATGTTATAATATCATTATTTATAAATGTCCTCCAGAATAAATATATTGGATGCTCAGCCACAACAAGAAGTCAACAACCACTATCACAACTAGTGGAGAGCCTTCAAGAAGAGGCTTAAACCCATTTCTTGGACAAGAAATGAGATATACTTAATATCTACCCGCATCTGGATGAGGCTACATTAGAAAACTTAAAGAGAGGGTATAATTTGAGGAATTTTAGTTTTCTGATACGTGAATGTCTCTTTTGAGTATTACTTGTTATGTTGTTATGTTTTAACTATGTTACTTCTATTTGTAGGTAAAAATTCAGAAAGGTACAAGCTCAAAGATTTTTAAGAATCCTACCCTACTAGGCTATCATGGGTATCGGGGCAAGAAACCTTAGTGGGAACGAGAGATGGAATCCAATGATGACATCTTACTTTTAATGATATATGGTTAGTTGTTCATATTTATAACATCCTAGTTATAGTTTAATGATAGTTTGTTGACATTCTTCTTTTTTTACATCCACCACCCTCACATTGCTCCAATATGATATGATGATGTAATTTTATGTAGTAAAAAATGTCATGTGCTTGAAATTGTTTAAAATCAGCTGTCTTATAATTATGTTAAAAAACTAATTATTTGTTTTGTTTGTTATTCGTTGATGATAAATGATAGAACTGTTTGGGACAATTCCTCTACGATTGGATCATGGGTGTTCTTTCTTTAATTTTTTATTCAAGTTTTATGATGTAGCAGGAACTTACCAAATTAATGATTTTTTTGTTAAACAGACATATTTTTTCTTTGAATGATGTTTTTTATCGATGTCTATTACGGTTGGGTTAATTGGCATGTCAACATTTACAAATCCATGCTTAATTAAAATGTTTTTTTATAGTTTTGTTGTGAATTTATCATTGTAACTTGTAACCATGTTGTTACTGGGTTTATAAAATTAATTAAAAATAAAAAAATTAAACTAGTTATAAGACCCTTTTGAATATTGTAGAACATGGTTATAAAATACAAGAAGAATGGACCAATTGTATGTATATGAACCGAGTTATATTGTCGCACAAAAGTGATCATGGTAAGGAAGAAAAACATGGTTTTAAACTGAGGAACCGGTCTTTATTGCGATTATATGACCCAATTGGAAAACTAGGTTCTATTACGTTTTCTGAATAAGACCCGCTGATAAGAAACTCAGTCGCAAACCGGGTTATATAAAGCTTTTAACCGGGTTTTTTAAGGCATTTTGTAGTAGTAATTGCTTTATATATAGTCTAAAAATAGTCATAGTCATAATATAAAATCTATAATATCAAGGAAACTTTTCTATCTAACTGTGACACCTTAAAACCAAATAATGGCAACCTTGGAGATGATAATATAAAATCTATAATATCAAGGAAACTTTTCTATCTAACTGTGACACCTTAAAACCAAATAATGGCAACCTTGGAGATGATAATTTCGGAACTCGCATAAAATAATAAACATGCAGTAATGAAAAAAGATTGCACAAAACAAGAAAGTACAAGCTGATACATAACCGTCAAAGGCAACACTTTCACAAAAGGTTCATCCCACAACAACACATTATCACTTAAAATTAGGATTTTGGCACATTTTCAACACCTAATGCGAAACCAAATTAACACTTAAAAGACAAACAGTTGTCAAAATTATTTACACTTCATAGAATAAGTTCTAAAATGGACCAATTTGAAATAGATGTTATTAGTAGAAAATGTGGAAATTTTGTTTAATCCCTAAGCCATTTGGTTAAGAATGTGATTTTCTCTATATTTAATCACTTAAAACTTAGGACTAAGAAAAATGAAGTGTACATTTATTGACCAATATCCAATATAATCGATCGACACCAATCATGTGACACAAAATAGAATAAGTAAGAAATTGACGTTTTGTGTGGCGTTCCATGACTATGCATTTTAATATTTATAGTCTAAAATGTTGTCGTTCAATCTTGACGCACAATCATAATCCATCAACAAATCTAGCGTACTACAAATACCAGCATCATTAGCTTAATGACAACCACCACCACCTACAACAATGGAGCCTCTCACCATCGTCTCCCTCGCTGTGGCTTCATTCATTCTCTTTGTCTTTTGGGCATTATCACCCAAGACCTCCAAGAATTTGCCACCAGGTCCACCAAAACTACCCATCATCGGAAACATACACCAACTTAAAAGCCCAACTCCTCATCGAGTTCTTAGAAGCTTAGCCAAGAAATATGGCCCCATCATGCACCTACAGCTCGGACAAGTCTCTACAGTCGTCGTGTCTACACCTCGACTTGCTCGAGAGATCATGAAAACCAACGATATCAGCTTTGCTGACAGACCCACAACCACAACCTCCCAAATATTCTTTTATAAAGCTCAAGACATTGGGTGGGCTCCATATGGCGAATACTGGAGGCAGATGAAGAAGATTTGCACCTTGGAGCTTCTTAGTGCCAAAAAAGTTCGATCTTTTAGCTCTATTCGGGAAGAGGAGCTTCGTCGTATCAGTAAGGTTCTTGAATCACAAGCCGGAACAACCGTCAACTTCACGGAAATGACTGTGGAGATGGTGAATAATGTCATCTGCAAGGCTACGTTGGGAGATTCCTGCAAAGACCAGGCTACTTTGATCGAGGTGTTGTATGATGTGTTGAAAACTTTGAGTGCTTTCAATCTAGCATCGTATTATCCTGGTCTACAGTTTCTTAATGTGATCTTGGGGAAGAAAGCCAAGTGGTTGAAGATGCAGAAACAGCTTGATGACATCTTGGAAGATGTGTTAAAGGAACACAGATCTAAAGGAAGAAACAAGAGCGATCAAGAAGATCTAGTTGATGTTCTTTTGAGAGTCAAAGACACCGGTGGACTGGATTTCACAGTCAAGAGATGAACATGTCAAAGCCGTTGTTCTGGTACGAATATATAAATATATACAAACTTCCAACCACCAAACATGTACATGGATTTTAAATTCATAATCTAATTAACATGTTTTTGGTTTAATGCAGGATATGTTGACTGCTGGAACAGATACATCTTCAGCAACACTTGAATGGGCGATGACTGAGCTCATGAGGAACCCTGAGATGATGAAGAGAGCACAAGAAGAAGTGAGATCGGTGGTGAAAGGAGACACAATCACCGAAACGGATTTACAAAGCTTGCATTACCTGAAACTAATAGTAAAGGAAACACTGAGGTTACATGCTCCTACACCTTTGTTAGTACCCAGAGAATGCCGGCAAGATTGCAACGTCGACGGATACGATATTCCGGCCAAAACTAAGATCCTTGTAAACGCTTGGGCTTGTGGAACAGACCCTGACAGTTGGAAAGATGCAGAAAGCTTCATCCCGGAGAGATTTGAGAACTGTCCGATCAATTACATGGGTGCAGATTTCGAGTTCATTCCGTTCGGTGCTGGCCGGAGAATTTGCCCCGGACTTACATTTGGGTTGAGTATGGTTGAATACCCACTTGCTAATTTCTTGTATCATTTTGATTGGAAGCTTCCAGATGGATTGAAACCCCATGAGCTTGACATCACGGAAATCACAGGGATTTCCACATCGCTCAAACATCAGTTGAAAATCGTACCGGTCCGCAAGTCCTTAGCACAGTAAAAGAAGCTGAGCCTTTAAGTCTTTAACTGGACCACCCATCCACACTGTTGTTCGTTCTTATCGTATTGTATACAAAATTTTCGTGTACATTTTGTTATGGGTTCACAATAATTAATCAATAATATATGTTTAATCATTATTTAATACTCACAAACAATATTTTAAAAAGCTAGTCTGGTGTTTGTTTTTTTAAGCAAAAATTCATAAAATTTACGGACCACCTCTGCAACCCTCTGCAGCAGAAGAGATAGACCAAACGGTTGCAAACTGTAATAAAAAGCGTGTTTGTTTTTCAACATCTGCATGCTGCTGCAGATATTAAAAAGTTTAAATAAACTGATTTTATAACAATTTATCACATTTCAAGCATCAATTTATCACATTTCAGTAACAATTTATCACATTTCAGCATCAATTTATCACATTTTAGTAACAATTTATCACATTTCAGCAAAAAATAACGGCATTTCAGCATAATGTATGACATTTCAGTAAAAATTTATGATATTTCAGCATAAATTTGTGACATTTCGACAACATTTCAGCATAAATTTGTGACCTTTTAGCAAAAATAAACCAAAAAAAAAAAAAAAACGTGTGAAACATTAATTCAGCAAGATTTCAACATATAATCAAGATTTAGTAAGATTTCAACAAGAATAAAAGAAAAAAAAAAGGAACTTACCTGAAGTCGATTGACCAGACGAGGAATGAGGGTGCGTCGGGGAAGGAGGTTGCGCCGGCAAAGGAGGTTGTGACAACGAGGAGGTGACGACGACAAGGAAGCAGTCGTGTCGATGGGGGGAGACGATGGGAGATTGCGGTGTTTTTTTTTATGGAGTGTAGGCCCAATTTTTCTTTGTAGGTTTTAGGTTTGAAGAGGTTGGAAGCTGCAATATAAGTGCTGCCCCATACAGAACACGCGCAGAGGTTTTTTACTACGAAGACTTCCGAAAAACAAACAACTACGAGATGAAAAGTGTTACGTGTGTGCTACGTCGTGCAATAATAAGTGGTTTGAAGATGTATTTTATAAATAAATAAATAAATAAAACAACACCTATAGTTTTCGTCGATCAACATTATATGACCTCAAGACTCACATCCGACCTTATGCAACAAAATACACGACCTTAAATAATATGTATTTATATATAACTAGAAAAAAAAACCACCCGAGCTTCGCCCCGGGTTGGATTTTTTTTTTTTAACAAAGTAACATCCTACTTTTGTTTCATCCTAATTCAATGTAAAAATCCATCCCACTATAGCAACATAATTCAAGTTTTAAAGTACAATGCTATAACTAAATAGAGTTTAAAAAATAAAAGAGAACAATGTCTTATTGTAATAGAAAAAGGATGAAAACCACTTTCTCTTCAAGTCTCATGAACCAATTCACCCTTGGAATTGAGACTCGATCTGTAACAACACATTTGCGAGTATAGAATCAACACCTTCTCCATCTTCTAGACGGGCCCAATGCATATTGTAGTTGAGTAGATTAGAGAGAGGGAAAAAGAAAGGGTAATGTAGTCATTTAGTTGGAGCAGGAACCAAAACTATTTAAAAAAAACCTCAAATAAGTACCAAAAACTGCAAGAAAGAATGGTAAGGAACCGGACAATGTATTCTTTTAAGAAGAAAAACAAAGTAATGTAACCTGTTACCCTAAAGATCAATTTCACCAACAAATTTTCATTGTAACATGTCATCAGTTATAAATTTGACCACTATGTTATCAGAAGTACAGGCTTAAAAGCGTGGAGAATAGCCCCACTGAAAAAACATCATAAACGAAAATTGGTTGAGTGACAGAAGCTAAACAAAACAGTTTCAAATTACTATGCATTTGAAATATTAAAAGAATATATTTCATGCTGAAGTTTGACATTTATTTATTGAGAAACTATAGCGGTAACACCCATGGTTGCAACTCGACTTCGATTTGTGCACCCTATCTACATGAAAGAAGTAAAATATGTAAGAAGTCAATTAAAATTAATGACTTATTTAAAAAATAAACATAACATTCCATTTGTTAAATCTAGCTAGTTTTGGGTTTTATGAGCTTTTTGTCCCAAAACCTTGGTCCTTGTGAGTATGGACTACTCCAGACCATTTGAGCTGTCCTTTCAGACGTTTTTGAGTGCATGGTGTCGTAAAAATGCAAGCTTGGTCCTTTCCTTTCATCCATGCATGAGTTATGGAGTTTTTGGTGATGTTAGAAGGTAGGGTTTTGGGATTGAGCTCTCTTTAGCCATGTAAAGGCATAAAGTTGGAGACTTTATGGATTAGAATGTCTTTTAGGGCCAGATATGAGGTTGGGTGAAGTGTCTTAATGATTAAGAGCTTAAAAATTAAGACTTGGATTTAGGCAGAGTACGATGAGCGTAAATCTGGCTACGCCCCGCGTAGCCAGCTGGGAGCTCGTTTTCGGGCTTTGTGCTCTACGTCATGCATAGAGCCTTGGTACGCTATGTGTAAGGTCGATTGGATCATTGACTTTTTGACCGAGTGTGACTTTTGGTCAAATTGTAAGGGTTTTGGTCTTGGAAGGGCCAAAATGGTCTTTTTTCCCAAATTGTGGATTAGTCTTGGTTTGGGACTATTTGAGTTTAGATAATTACCTTAATTGCTAATTAGGGTTATTTGGTGTGATTAATAGGCGGAGTCTAGTTCTGACAGTTTGGGTGTAAGTTTTATCAGTCTTCTATGCAAGGTGAGTCTTCTCACTATACTTGCTTGTGTGTATGTATGTGTATGTGTGTGTGTGTGTGTGTGTGTATATATATATATATATATATATATATAAGTGCTGACCAGTTGAGTCTATTTGTTGTTACTGTGATACTTGTTACTGTGTGTGCTGAGACTTCGAGTAGTCTCCAGGGTTGCTGATAACCCACATGACGTGTTATTTGCCCACTGAGACTTTGGGTAGTCTCCAAGGTTGCTGATAACTCATAGTTGTTTATTTGTGATGTGTTGTATGTGGTATTTTGGGGAACTCACTAAGCATCGTGCTTATAGTTGTTGATTACATGTGTTTCAAGTACTTCTTATATTAAAGGAGGGGCACGGCTCGATTGCATTGCATCCATGGGAGATTTGTGCACATGATAACTTTTGATGATACTCTGATAAATGTTTTGAGTTAAATGGTTTTATCTAAAATATCCGTAAGTTGTGAATTGAATAATCAGTTAACTTTTTGAATGAAAAACTTGGGTTGAATTTTGGGGCATTACATCTTGTGTCGTCTTAAACTTTTTTTTTGTCGTTCAAACATGTGAATGATTTCAAGAAAACATATAACTTACGATATATCACATCAGTAAGATAGTACCCATGCATGTATGCTACTCCATTTTCTTGAAACGGTACATCGCACGCCTTTCCAAGATAGATGTCGTTGAATATCGATGATTGGTTAAGAACTCTGATGTCGTTATTTGCTCCAGCAAGACCAAAGAATGCATGTCATATACAAAGATTGTGAGACGCAATTCCTTCTAAAATAATCGTTTGCTCTTTATGACCACCTCACATTTATTGACCACACCATGCGTTAAGGCACAATGCCTAAGACCGGTACATATAATCGATGCTACTTAGCATTCCGAGGAACTCATGTTCGTTTTCATGCACCATGTACACATTGGTAGATATCATTGATCGTTGGTTTGCGCAAATATCGTTTGACGTAAACCAAATAACAACTTTACCGAACTTGTACACACTTTCTCGGGTGGTCTGCCCGGACATCCTCAAATACTCATCTCATTTGTCTGCTCCCATTTTGTATGCTAACTGACAAACTCTGAATATACATTTTTGAAATGGAGAAAAACTTTTTCTACATCTCCCACCCCGCTTCAACTCAAAATATGGAAATCAAACCTCCAAGTTACCAACAATACGTCAAAATAACTCTTTCCATATCTGGAACCGTCATCAAAACTTTTCAGCGTACACGGTGTCATCTGCAGAATAGTCTTCTATAAGACAATTGTGTGAGATTTCACAATTCTCTTCAGCGGAGGTCTTCTCATTCGAGAACGTGAACTTTAAGCTTCTCGGTTTTGAAAATATGTGTCTGATTTTGCGATGATGGAATCGAGACGTTGCTTCTTGTAACGCCTTCGAATCCGACGATCTAGATCACGATGACGACATTATGGTTTAATGACTTTTTGAGAGAAAATATAGAAATTGGTGTGAGAAAAAATATTGTATAATTGTTAGTATTTAAGAGTGGCAAAGTTATATATATATGAAACACCCCAAAAATACGGTCCAAAAAATTCGTTTTTAAAACATTAATAAAACCATAACTCATAAATTATTATAAATAAAATCATAAACCATGTGTCTCAAAACATCACATCAAATGATGTATCAAATCATATGACAAAATATCAAAGTCTAAAACGCCCCAGGCTGAACTATGGTGTGTGCGTTGCAATCATCCCGAGCCCTTCCCTTTGCTAGTGGAAGTACCTGAAAACAAAACTGTAAACCATAAGCACGAAGCTTAGTGAGTCCCCCCAAGCTACCACATATCATACACATAATCATATATTGGGCCTAGCCCACTGCATCGGGCCCCGCCCGGCATCGGACCGAGGTCCGGCATAACTTGGGCCTAGCCCCTGCATCGGGCCCCGCCCGGCATCAGACCGAAGTCCGGTATACATATCATATCAACAAGCATAACATAAACATAAACATAAACATGAAAGCTAACATTCCTCGGGCTTGCCCCGGCATCGGACCAAAGTCCGGAACACATAATTAGACACATGCAAGAATCACGAAGACATCAAGCATACTAACTTCCTCGGGCTTGCCCCGGCATCAGATCGAAGTCCGGAACATAAAATCTACATCGGGCTAACCCCGGCACATACAATCACACATAAACGGGCCGGCCTTGGTGCCTTAGACTCGTTCCTATAGGAGAAGACTCACCTCTCAAACTGAATGTTGAACTCGTGCGTGAGGAATCTCTGCTGGCTGCTCCGACGACTCCCCGGAGTATGACCATTTTACCCCTTGGTCCTACTTGGTCCATATCTAAGGTCCAAGACCCTAATACAAAAGGCCCCACACTAGGTAGGCTTCCCAAGCCCACTAGTAG